CAAAAATGTTTCCCGTTCAATTTAAAACAAATGATCTATCTTCACTTGCTTTCCTTCGATGCGCCATTCAAAAAACCATTGGCGTACCATTTTTTTCTTAAAAAATATCAAAGTCAGTACCCGTACGCACGCCACTGCTACAGCTAAAAATTATTTTTGCATTGAAAAATATGCAAATTTATTAACTTTTTTCACTAAGTACTAAATATCAGCGAAATATCTGAAACGGTTCTGAAAATATTAATTAATTTCCATTTTTTCCTAAAACTTCAACACCCCAAGTTTTTGTAAGGAAACATTATTGTACCATAATTTATGAAGCAAACTAACACTAATTTTTCATGTAGATTCACACGCATATCATTAAGGAATACCCTGTATACTTAAAGCACTGTGGAAAAATATTTCCGACCCTCGCGAGTCAATTATACGCTTCACCGCCGTCCTGCTGATCCATCTGTGTAGCAGTCAGCCTCCGCATCTCGATTGGATGTGTACCGCACGGCTATTATGTAAAAAACCTATAAAACGTCAAATAGAAACAACGAAATGTCAAGAGCAACGACATGAGCCTCACCATATACAGGGTGTCAGGGAAATAATATCGTAGCTTTAAGCAAAAAAGTTCATTATAACCTATGTCCGAGAATCAACCATTTCGGAGCAAAGAAATGATGCACTTATTTCTTTTTAGTCATGAAATAAATTAATTTTGTACCTTAATAATTTAAATTCATATGCCTAATAGCGTGATATATACCAATACATATATTTACTAATTAACTCTCTCTAACAAAATAATTTTCTTGCTTATTAAATACAATTTTCCGAAGAAAAACAGACAAACAAAATCCCTGACACAACTGGCAACGTCGTACTCTGCCTGCACTGCATGTATCATCGCGTGTTGTTGTGTTTACTAACACATTTAATTGTAACTTTATGTGATTTACGGATGTTGTTTTTTCGTGCAGCGCATGATTTCAAATAAGTGACTGATAATCACGGAAATTGGTGGTGTGTATCGCCACGTACCGGTATGTTTTTTAGTAAATGTACTGTACTGAAAGCGTTATTAAATAAAAAAATACTAGCCACAAAAAATTGCATAAAAATATTCAATAATTCAAGGCATATTTTCAACAAAAATATCATACAAACGTAAACAATTCGATGAATCAGTTGCGGTCGTCGTGAGCTGGTATCGCGGTTGCGTTGCAGCGTTGCCAAATGTTTGAGAAAATTTTATTATACTAAGTGACATATAAATCCGAACACCCAGTTTAAATGGTTTTATTTTAATAAAATTTTGTATAAGTACTTAATGAAGCATAATCAGTAAATGATAAAAATTTCAAAATGATTGCACTGCTTTAAAGCCCTTTGACCTTTTATAATGTGTGGATGCACCCTGATGTGCTACGCATTCTCCAACGCGCCTAGGCATGCTTCTGATCAGGTGGTCAATTTCCTCCTGTGGTATCTCATTCCAGGCAACCACCAACTCCTCTCGCTTCTAGAGTCTGAGGAGGACGTTGCAAATTGAGCAATCTCCTACCCATCATATCCCACACGTGCTCGATTGGGGATAAGTCGGGAGATCTTGGTGGCCATGGTAACAATGTGACATCATTATGTTGAAAGAAGTCTATTGGGACTCTTGCAACATGTGGTCGGGCATTATCTTGTTGGAAAGTTGGATCTGCCAGGGTGTCAAGATAGGGTAAAAGATGGGGTTCTAGAACTTCGTGGATATAACGCTGCGCGTTCATGTTACCTCTGATGAAGATTAAAGGTGACCTGGAACCATAAGCTATAGCACCTCAAACCATAACTCCAACAGTGTGATGAACATGTCTTTCAACAAAAAACTGTGTATTCCTCCTTTCACCACGTCGCCTTCTAACCCTGGCACGACCATCGTGCATGCCTAAACACAATCGAGACTCGTCACTAAAGACAATACTGTTCCATTCCTGATCCCAGAGTGACCGTTGTCTGCACCACTCAAGACGATTACGTCGGTGTTCTCGAGTTAAAGGGAGGACCCAGTGTGACCGGTATGAAAACAAGCCAAAACTTCTCATTCGTCGGTAAACACTTCGCATGCCAATAGGTCTTCCGTGTTCTGCAAACCATTCATCTGCAATGGACCTGGTAGTGGAGAAACGGTCCCTTAAGGCCAATAATCTTAGGCGGCGATCTTCACGGTCTGTTGTTCTACGGTGGCGTCCAGTGCCCCTTGCTCTTTGCGTACGGCCTTCTCGAAGCCATGCCTGACAACACCTAACCACAGTGTCTACACTTCTTTGCACTCTAACTGCAATTGCCCGAAAAGAAAGTCCAGCTTCCCGAAGTCCCACTATACGGCCCTTATCAAACTCACTAAGTTGACGAAATCGTACAGGTCTCCGTACTCTAGGCATCGTAACCGATCGTAAAGGATGTCAAGAACCAAAATCCGCCAACGTTGATTCTTTACTGCGGCTGAAATATTCATTTTTAGAGCGTTAGTGAATTAAAAAAAAGCAGTATAAAAACCGGAATGTCCAACTGATAAGGCTGAAAATTTTTTCACTTGTTATTTACAGTAAGATAAATACATTCACCAGCTTTTATTAAAATAAAACCATTTAAACTGGGTGTTCGGATTTATATGTCACTTAGTATATTTACGACTCACTTTCCTAGAAAACGATTGATTTCCGGACATAAGTTATAATGAAATTTCGTGCTTAGAATAATGCAAGGAATCACCTCTTATAGTAACGAATATTATTCTCCTAACACCCTGTATATTACTGAATAACCTAATGCAATTTTCAGCGGAGGTAAGCTTGATTTTGAACGCGAAAACTATCTTTTCCATGGCCGCTTAATTTTCATTCCGCTTTATGCCATTTTATTTCGTTATGTGACGATGACCGCGGCTACAGTAACGGCGTCTACTGGCCTTTTTCCAGCTTGCCACAAATGATATGCATACGAGTCCTTTGTGCAAACGGAATGGCTAACAAGCTGCCATCCAACAGTTTCTTGTTAGTCAGAAGCGTGGATACACTAGCGGTCAGAAATATAATACCACACAGCAAGGATTATACATACGAAACGTAACCCATTGCTTTGCTGATTATCTTTATTTTCATGGATGATTTGACTAAAAATCTGATATGAGAGAGACCGCGTACTGAAATATACCTAACAAGAACTATTGTCAAATCAAAGAGTAGTTATATAAAGAAAGACAGACAAGGCGAATAAAATTAGATAGAGATAAAAGATGACTCCAAAAACATGGCGGTTCTCGTTAGACAGATAATCCTTAATGGATGAATTGGCCATCGGTGATGGTACACTTATCATAACAACATATTTATTTATTTACACAACAGTGCAATACGTAGTTTTGCGCAAAAAAATCTTGGATGAAGCACTTTTTATATGGAACTTTGCTTTTTCCAAAACACCATTTTCCAGCAATGCCTAGAACACAAAACTGAATTCTATACTAAGTGACATATAAATCCGAACAGCCAGTTTAAATGGTTTTATTTTAGAAAAAGTTGGTGAATGTATTTATCTCACTGTAAATAACAAGTGAAAAATTTTTCAGCCTTATCAGTTGGACATTCCGGCTTTTGTACTGCTTTTTTTTAATTCACTAACGCTCTAAAAATGAATATTTCAGCCGCAGTAAAGAATCAACGTTGGCGGATTTTGGTTCTTGACATCCTTTACGATCGGTTACGATGCCTAGAGTACGGAGACCTGTGCGATTTCGTCAACTTAGTGAGTTTGATAGGGGCCGTATAGTGGGACTTCGGGAAGCTGGACTTTCTTTTCGGGCAATTGCAGTTAGAGTGCAAAGAAGTGTAGACACTGTGGTTAGGTGTTGTCAGACATGGCTTCGAAAAGGCCGTACGCAAAGAGCAAGGGGCACTGAACGCCGCCGTAGAACAACAGACCGTGAAGATCGCCGCCTAAGATTATTGGCCTTAAGGGACCGTTTCTCCACTACCAGGTCCATTGCAAACGAATGGTTTGCAGAACACGGAAGACCTATTGGCATGCGAAGTGTTTACCGACGAATGAGAAGTTTTGGCTTGTTTTCATACCGGCCACACTGGGTCCTCCCTTTAACTCGAGAACACCGACGTAATCGCCTTGGGTGGTGCAGACAACGGTCACTCTGGGATCAGGAATGGAACAGTATTGTCTTTAGTGACGAGTCTCGATTTTGTTTAGGCATGCACGATGGTGGTGCCAGGGTTAGAAGGCGACGTGGTGAAAGGAGGAATCCACAGTTTTTTGTTATATATATATATAGCTTATGGTTCCAAATCACCTTTAACCTTCATCAGACGTAACATGAACGCGCAGCGTTATATCCACGAAGTTCTAGAACCCCATCTTTTACCCTATCTTGACACCCTGGCAGATCCAACTTTCCAACAAGATAATTCCCGACCACATGTTGCAAGAGTCACAATAGACTTCTTTCAACATAATGATGTCACATTGTTACCATGGCCACCAAGATCTCCCGACTTATCCCCAATTGAGCACGTGTGGGATATGATGGGTAGGAGATTGCTCAATTTGCAACGTCCTCCTCAGACTCTAGAAGCACTTCGAGAGGAGTTGGTGGTTGCCTGGAATGAGATACCACAGGAGGACATTGACCACCTGATCAGAAGCATGCCTAGGCGCGTTGGAGAATGCATAGCACATCAGGGTGCATCCACACATTATTAAAGGTCAAAGGGCTTTAAAGTAGTGCAATCATTTTGAAATTTTTATCATTTACTTATTATGCTTCATTAAGTACTTATACAAAATTTTATTAAAATAAAACCATTTAAACTGGGTGTTCGGATTTATATGTCACTTAGTATATTTTTACTTCATTTTATGTTCATGATACTGGTGTTGTAAAGGGTTTACCTCGGATCTGCAATTGATGCCGGATGGCGTCCCTGATGCTTTCATGGGCTGTAGTCACCACTTACTTTACTTTTTACTTATACAATCAGGAAAAAACTAGGAGACTAACACACCTGCAACTACTATCCACACTTCTATTTACCTTCTTCTTACAATACATGGTTGCCACATGCAACTTAAAGTCGGGTTACTAGATACAATATTCCAAATGTAATAAAGTTCCAAACATACCGCCCGCCTTGAAAGGTCCAGGACTTTCAACAAACATTATTAACGTCAACAGGCAAAACGCACAATCGATTCACAGCACGTTTTACTATAACGCCACCTCTGAGCTTGACTTCACACACTCTGACAACATTGTCAGTTCCAGGAAACAGTTTCACTACACGGCCTAACCTCCAATCCAAGGTAGGAGTATTTTCTTCTTTCAGCAGCACCAAAGAACCTATCTGCAGTCTCGTCGCTCCATCGCGTCTCCATTTAGTCCTAGTCTGCAGCTCTGCAAGGTACTCTTTATGCCACCTTTTCCAATAATGCTGAGTCATCGCTTGCAGCTGCTGCCAGGCATTCAAACGGTTGACAGGTACTTCGGCTAAGTTCGACTCAGGAAGGGCTATTAACTGTCTCCCAATCAAAAAATGAGCAGGTGTTAAGGCTGCTGTATCATCTGGGTCCTCTGTCAGGGGACATAGTGGTCGGGAGTTAAGGATACTTTCGATTTGCGTCAGCACCGTACTAAATTCCTCAAAAGTTAATCTTTGATTACCTATCACTCGCTTTATATGATGCTTAGCACTTTTAATGCCTGCCTCCCACAGACCACCAAAGCTAGGGCTTCTAGCCGGTATAAAATGCCAATTGACACGCTCAAGGGCTAACGTCTCCCCTATTTTCTCAGAATTTCTTTTCAAAAATTTGAACAACTCATTTAACGCATTATTCGCTCCCAAAAAATTAGTTCCATTATCGGAATACACATGAGTTGGTTTTCCTCTACGACTACTAAATCTATGAAATGCAGCAAGAAACGCATCGGTGGTCAAATCTGAAACCAGCTCTATATGTACTGCCTTCACACCCATGCAGACAAAAAGACACATGTAAACTTTACTAGTTTTTGCGCCCCTACCCTTACGGTCTTTTACTAAAAACGGTCCTCCGTAATCTATGCCAATGTTCTGAAATGGAAGGTAAGTATTGACTCTCACATTGGGAAGATCACCCATCAAATAATTTGTGTCTTTAGGTGACACCTTAAAACAAGTTACGCACTTTCTAACTATATTCTTGCAGGAATTTCTTCCACCAATGGGCCAGAACTTATCCCTTATTGCGCATAACAGTGTCTGGACTCCGCAATGTAATAGTGTTTCATGAGCATCTCTTAAAATCAACTCTGTTAATATATGACCCTTGGGTAAAATTATTGGATGCTTTTTATCAAAATTCTGCTTAGAGTTACTTAATCTCCCGCCAACTCGCATGACGCCATTTTCTAAAAAAGGTCTCAAAGGAAGCAACTTACTTTTATTTTCCAACGCTTTATTAGATGATAAGCTTCTATACTCTATTGGAAAACAATCTCTTTGTACGAGCGTGATCAAAAGGTTTAAAGAGTTCTCTAGCTCTATTGGGGTTAAGATTCCAAAATTTCTATCAGACTTGGGACATCTCAAATTATCAATAAACCTACGCACATAGCCTGCAATCCTTACAATTTTATTCAAACTCGAAAACTTATCGATTAACTCCAATAAGTCGTTTTTTATTATGCATGATGCCAACGATACAGAACGTTGTTCCGGTACTTCAAAATTTAGCTCAAAATTGTCTATGTTCCACGCACTGTTATTTAACTTGAAAAAGGATGGTCCATGCCACCACAACTCGCAATCACATAATAACTTAACTGTTACTCCTCTAGTTAGTAAGTCTGCCGGGTTATTAGCAGACTCTACGTGTCTCCAATCTAGTACACCTGTAAGTGACTGAATTTCACCTACACGATTGGCTACGAAGGTTTTCCACCTCTTTGAATCCCCTCGTATCCAAGCAAGGGTTATCATGGAATCGGACCACAAATAACATTGATCAAAATCAATTTCTAAAATTTTTATAGCTTTATTAAGCAAATTCGCTAATAAGACAGCCCCACATAATTCTAACCGTGGTAAACTTACTTGCTTAACCGGGGCAACTCTTGATTTTGCACATATCAAATTTGATACCGGTTCCTTTGTGCTAAAACTGCATCTAACATATATACAGGCTGCATAAGCCTTCTCACTTGCGTCGCTAAATCCGTGAATTTCTATTCTTATATACTCTGATAAGACCGCCCGCCGTGGGATACTAAGTTTTGTTATTGTCTTCAAATCTTCGCGAAAACGAATCCAACTATCTTGTAAATCACTAGGCAAATCATCGTCCCATTCTAATTTCCTAAACCACATTTGTTGGATCAATAATTTGGCCACAATAGTAACGCAACCTACTAAACCTAAAGGATCGAATATCTGACATATTGTAGATAGGACACCTCTTTTCGTCATTCGATGGTTTGATAGTATTTCAAAATCTATTTTGTACTGAATCACATCATTATGTGAATTCCAAAACACTCCGAGTGTTTTGTTTTGCTCATCTTCACCTATTTCTAAAATATTTGCCTCTATCTCACCATGCGTTTTAAACTTAGCTAATATTTCTTTATCATTACACAACCATTTTCTTAATGGCAAACCAACACTATTTAAAATATCCGATACCTCTCCTTGAATTTTCAATAAATCCACCTCAGATTCTGCACCAGTCAACACATCATCCATATAAAAGTCACGCTTAATAACCTTGCGGGCATCTGGAAACTCATTTTCATGCATATTTGCTACTTCAAATAGACACCTCACTGCAAGATATGGCGCTGACGCTGTGCCGTACGTCACTGTTTTCAACTTGTAACACTTTATATCCTTGGTGGAATCAAAACGCCAAAGAATTTTTTGGTATAGCCTCTGCTCTTCACTAATCCAAATTCTCCTGTACATTTTAGACACGTCACCTGTCATGACTAATTTATGCTTTCTAAACCGCACCAAAATATCAAAGAGATCATCCTGTAGCTTAGGACCTACAAACTGAGTGTCATTTAGTGACAAATCTGAGGTAGTCTTGGCTGAGGCGTCAAATACTACTCTACACTTCGTAGTTATACTTGATGACTTAATAACTGCATGATGAGGCAAATAATATCCTCTATCTAATTCTAAGCTATCATCAAATTCTTCCATATGACCTAACTCTAGGTATTCCTTCATAAATGCATTATACTCTAACTTTAAACTTGAGTTTCTATCTAGCTTCCTTTCTAGAAACTTATATCTCTGAAGTGCCATCTCCCGCGACTCTCCTAATTGCTTTACACTCTCCTTAAACGGAACGTTTACTATAAACTGACCATTTTCCGCTTGCCTTGTTGTTCTTTTAAAATATGAGTCACAATAACGATCCGCTTCGGACTGTACTATGTTATCTTTAGCTACTTCTTCCAGCTGCCAAAACTTCTCTAATTTACTGGCTATATTTCCCGTACTATTGACGCATTTCATTTTAGAACGGTTACTTATACTCAAACAACTGATTACTGTATTATTACTTATTCCTGAAGCAATATTGCCAGCAACTAACCATCCTAATTCCGTATTTTGTAACCAAACTAGTCGCCGAGTACCCTTTTTCAACCCGGGTACCATTACCGACCAAAACACTTCTGATCCCAATAATATATCTACTTCATCGGAAATATTAAACTGAGGATCAGCCAACTCGGTATCTCGCGGTATATTTAAACTAGAACTGTCAAAAGAAATTATAGGCAGCTTATCAGTTATGCGAGGAATAACCAGACAATTAATATCCATGGAAAACTCTCTAACATTTGACTTAATGGATATGTCAACTTTACTGGTGATACTCGTGAGTGTCTGTCCCACACCCCTGATAGAATGATTTATTTTACTCACTGTCAAGTTTAAGCGCTTGCAGAATTTTTCTGAAACGAAATTACTCTGACTTCCCGAGTCCAGGAGCGCTCTACCGATACAAAAATTCCCTTTTGCATCCTTCACCTGCACTAATGCTGTAGATAACAAAATCTGCGAATTTTCCGCCCGCACATTAGCGGATGTAAACCCTTCTGTAGGCGACGGCAACACCGCATGTGTCTGCGACGACTTCGAAGCCGGCGGCGGCGTTGTGTCGTTCGGCGTTGAAGCGGTGACTAAGCGTTCCGACGGTGTCCGATGGAGATTTGGCTCAGCAGCGGTGGCTTCTCGCCGCGGAATGTGAAGTAATACATTATGTGGCGCTTTACAATTTTTGCAGTTACTCAATCTGCACTGCCGTGTCAGATGGTTATCTCTCAAGCAATTCAGGCACAACTTTAGTTTTCTAGCAGCTGCAATCCTATCACTTACCTGCAGTGATAAAAAGGATATACACTTAAATATCGAATGAGAACCTTTACAATAAAAGCACTCAATCGCAGTTTCTGTGGCTGCAAAACTGTTACTCGTATGCGGTTTTCTACTACTTGTATGAGGGTAAGACTTCCCTCTATCGAAGTGTTTAGCATCTGACTTTACTAACTCCAATTTTTCTAAAACTTCACACTTTTTCTTTAAAAATACATGCAAATCAGCCATTGTAGGAAGATCCCCATTATACTTAAAATTCTCCCAGTCTCTTCTGGTTACCGAGTCCAACTTGGTACTCATGATGTATATAATAAGGCTATCCCACTCATCTGTCTTTTCTCCCAGACTTTTCAATGATCTGAGATGTTTCATGAAATTATCATAAAGATTTCTTAAATCCGCGTGATTTTCCTTATTCACGGGTGTATGTTCTATGATCGCCTTGATATGATTGAAAACAATCAATCTTTTATTCTCATACCTTTCTATTAAAAATTGCCAAGCACTTCGATAATTATCTGCTGAAACTTCAATAAACTTAATCGTATCCAAAACGTCTTTCTCTAAACTGGTTTTTAAATAATAAAACTTTTGGATATCTGATAGCTGCTCATTACAATCTACCAAAGATAAAAAGGAGTCCTTGAACTCTAACCAATTATGGTAACGACCGTCAAAGGTAGGTATTTTAATAGGTGGCAACTTTACTAAAGTACTATTATTCACTACATTAACTGGATTAGTTGTAACCCTAACAACTGACGAACTACTGTTACTGTTAACTGAGCCAGTGGTAGACTTGACAACCGATGCACCATTTGGCACATTACTTTTGACTGAACCGGTGGTGGACTTAACTCCTGATGCACCACCGTTTGATGCATTACTTGTTGCATCAGTGGAATACTCAAACTTCTTAATAAACGCCTTCATATGGCCAACCAACTTAAAATACTTGTCATCAAACTGTTCTCTTTCAATATCATCATCTGACGAAACTTCCAACTCCTCAATTTTACTTTGAACTTCATTAAATTCTTCCCATGTAGGTTCTACTTTAGACAATCTACTAGAAACTTCCTGTACTATATTATCATCTACCTCATTCTTATCTAATGAGTCAAAAAACCTTATTGAGCGTGTCAACTGGCCTTTCAACGTCTTTCGACGATTTTTTAGTGAAGCAATTTCACTCATTTTTACTAACTGTACTGTACTATCGAATTCAACTGAATCGCGTATAACTGACGCTGACTTTTTACTAAACTTGCGTATATAACTGACGCTAACTTACTATAACTGATCAACTTTGCGTATATAACTGACGCTAACTGTAATTTCTAAGATCGCGTATATAACTGACGCAAATCTAAGGAAAGGTTTACAGGTGGTGGAATAGTCTTCCGTCCCCTGACCTATTACTGTTGCTACGTGGATGCTACCGTCATCAAAATGGCGGCTACCTCATGCGCCGAAAAGAAGATCCGCTGGTATCCGTGCTCGATTAGGACCAAAAATGTTGTAAAGGGTTTACCTCGGATCTGCAATTGATGCCGGATGGCGTCCCTGATGCTTTCATGGGCTGTAGTCACCACTTACTTTACTTTTTACTTATACAATCAGGAAAAAACTAGGAGACTAACACACCTGCAACTACTATCCACACTTCTATTTACCTTCTTCTTACAATACATGGTTGCCACATGCAACTTAAAGTCGGGTTACTAGATACAATATTCCAAATGTAATAAAGTTCCAAACAACTGGTTTTATTTGTTGTTTTTGATTATCGCTTATGTTATACCATCTCTGAAGCAAATTTTACATCACATCAGAGCCAAACATTGATAACTGAAGCGTCAAGACGTTTAGGCAACACGTACAACTGCAAAACGACTCACAAGTAAATCAGCTAGTGCTCGGTTAACATCTTTTAGAAAAACCTACATAATGTCAAAAAAAGCTGACATCATAATACCCTAGGCGAAGGTCTTTGAATGAACGAGGACTTTTGTCTTTAGATATAGGTAGGGTTATTATTTTCTGAAGTATAACATCCAAAAAAACTAATATTTCATTTCGCGATCAGAATACTTCCGCCCGAATTGGCGCAGAACTAGGAGTAAGCCTCAGAATTTTGATTTTTGCTACTAACATGGCGGTACAGTAAAAAGTTCCATTTACATATTCTCAGATAGAAAAGTAAAGTTCCTGTATGACATTCCACACAAGCTGGCGAGCAGGACCATAACATTAGAAACATTTGTGAAGATTTCCAACAAATCTTCGAAACATAATAATACAAACGGTTTTTTCCCAAGACTAATCTCAAACAACGTCTCCCGAGGGTCCCACCGCGAAACTCTCTATACACCGACTCGGTAATTACTTCTTATTTATTGTGGAACATTAAAACTAATAGCTCTCTGCTCAGCAAGTGGGTCACCGTCAGCCATATACCTGCAACAACTTCAACAGTTATTATAATGCGCTGTCGTTACCGTACAGTTTATGGTCAATCAGTAGCAAATTCCGACCATATCCATGTTATGTACGAGCTCAAACAGAGAATAGGAGCTTATGTTCAATCAAGAAACTCTGACTAATTTACTTTATGGCAATTAACCTTAGGTTTAGTTCAGATCACGAGAGTACGACGCGCGGCGAAATGACGCGCGTCGAAAAGACGCGCGCGGAAAAGTCGCGCGTCAAGATGACGCGCGTACAACTTTTATATAACATTCAGTCGGTTGTTGACAGAGAGAATCGTGCTTTTGCCGTTGAGGTCTACTTTTCGAGCGGGTGTTACGTGGGTCGTTACGTTTAGACAAACTTCAAGTACGACAAGGTGCAGAACTGGAGTCTCTCAGCCCATTAGATCACCTGAAAACGTTGAGGCAATGAGAGCTTCAATATTGCGATCACCTAGCGTTCAAACCTGCGACTGCGCTTTGACTTTCCGACCGTTCTGTGAAGAGAATTTGTCATGATGATCTTTCTGAACGTGACTTCAGTTCTCGGATGAGCGTTTTGGAGCGTCTTTCCAGAGGTCACCATTTTTTTTGTAGTGATGGTGTCCATTTTCATGCGCTACTGGGCTGACGCCAATATTCAAGAATTGTATCAAAGGCCTTTGCTTTCACGTAAAGTCACAGTTTGGTGTGCAATGCCTTAGCTGGAAATATTGGTCCATCGTTCTTGAGGAAAATGAAGTCGAAATGACAGTGCATTCGGACCGGTTTGTAAATATGTTACAGGATTTTTCCCCACGGATAGATGAGCTGGACTTAGGGGACATTTGAGAGCGCCTCATCTCAATTAGGGGCGATTTGCAGTGGCCGGCCCGTTCTCCCGATTTGGACCCTTGTGATTTTTTTCTATGGGATTATTTGAAACTCGTGTTATGTTAACCGTCCAAGGATCCTACAAGATTTGAGGACCAACATCCAAGAAATTGCGAACAGTTCGCCTGCTATGCTGGCCAGAGTCATGACAAATCTTTGGTCAAAAATGAGTTCATGATATTTTTCCTTCTAATAAATAAATATATATTTAAATAAATTGCTTTACTTAACCTAAGTGAACCGTTTAATAAATTTAACTAAGCTGGTCCGTCTTGATTCAATAAAGCCAGTCTTATGTTTTCCAATTTACTATTTTAGAAATCGGAACTAACTGAATTTGTTAGCCGTCACATAGTTTATTAACTTCAGTGTCTTTGACGGTAACGATGACGTATAATCTTGGTTGGAAGTTGCTATAGAAATCCGAATTTATTTTAATAAAAACAGTTTATTTGAATCGCGTACACGACAGGACTCGGTCCTTCATTCGTGAATGATCGGGATTACGCGGCAGGCAGAATGCCAGTGACGCCTTTCGAACTCCGCAGTTTCATTTGTGATTTTCGTGACGCGCTTCTTATTCGAGTGTTGCCATTGTTAGTGTAAGCATCAGTGTTTAGTGATCCATTACCGTGGTTAGAATATTTGTTGCTTCCAGTGAAGCTCTCTGTGTATGTGTCTAGCTTTAACTAGACCAATACGTTTACCTACGCTTGAACATCTTTAATAAATATAATTAAATTGTTTTACTTAGAGCAGGTACACTCATTTTAGTAGTTCGCTAATTTCAAATAAATTGGTGTACTTAATCTAAGTAAGTGGTTTATTAAATTTAATTTAATTCAATGAAGCTAAATTTATAGATTCAATTAAACTGTTTAATTGAACGACTCAGCCGTCACGTAGTTACTTAAATCCTGAAATTGCCCCAATTAAAATGTTCATGGTTTGGTCAAGTTTTTTCTTAACGTAGAGCTGAGGTTGATCCGCGTGGAACACCCATGTGGGAACAGAACGTTATTCTCGCATGTCTGAGTAATTTGACGACACTGGTTTTACGACGTGATAGCCATACAGATTGTATTCATGATTGACTCTAAATTATGGTTATTTCAGTGTCTTTGATGGTAACGATGACGTATAATCTTCGGTGGAAGCTGTTATAAAAATCCGGAT